GCGGCTGGCCTACGGATATGAGGGGCCGGCCCAGGGCTATGCCGAGGCCTCTGTGGAGAAGAGGCGCCTCTGCAGGTCCCTGTCCGAGGGGCCGTACCCCTACCCCCCTGAGCTGGGGAAACCGGCCAGCGGGGACTTCGGCTACCGCTCCCCAGGCTACCGGGAGGTGGTGATCCTGGAGGAACCTGGTCTGCCTGCCCTGTGTTCCTGCCCCGCTTGTCAGGAGAAGCTGGCGCTGCCCACCACAGCCCTATATGGGTTACGGCTGGAGAGGGAGGCTGGAGAGGGGTGGGCGAGTGAGGCCAGCAAGCCTCTCCTGCACCCCGTGCGGCCCGGGCACCCACTTCCCCTGCTGGTGCCAGCTTGCGGGCATCACCATGCCCCAATACCTGACTACAGCTGCCTGAAGCCACCCAAGGCAGGCGAGGAAGGGCATGAGGGCTGCTCCTATCCCATGTGCCCAGAAGGCAGGTATGGGCATCCAGGCTACCCTGCCCTGGTGACATACGGCTATGGAGGAGCAGTTCCCAGTTACTGCCCAGCGTATGGCCGGGTGCCTCACAGCTGCGGCTCTGCAGGCGAGGGCAGAGGCTATCCCAGCCCTGGTGCCCACTCCCCACGGGCTGGCTCCATTTCACCGGGCAGCCCACCCTACCCACCATCCAGGAAACTGAGCTACGAGATCCCTGCAGAGGAAGGAGGGGACAGGTATCCGCTGCCCAGCCACCTGGCCCCAGCAGGACCCTTGACATCTGCAGGTGAGGGGCACTGGAGTGGGAAGTGCCCGGGGCAGAGGAGGGTTCTAGACTATGGTTGGGAAGGAACAGAGCAAAAGAGCTAAGCCAGACAGAGGCCTGTTCCTGGGCCACAGCCTCTACTCTCCCCTTCCCTGCAGAGTCGCCTGAGCCAGCGCCCTGGAGGGAGGGCCCCAGCAGGCACAGCACCTTGCCTCGGTCTCCCCGAGATGCCCCGTGCAGCACCTCTTCAGAGATGTCTGGTCCCTCCACACCCCTGCACACCAGCAGCCCAGTGCAGGGCAAGGAAAGGTAGGCAAGCGCCTCTTTGCTCCAGACACTGAAGGCTGGGGCTGGGGGGCAGCTCACAACTGGGGCTCTGAGGCCCTGCTGACTACCTGCCCTCCCTCCCCACAGCACCCGACGGCAGGACACCAGGTCCCCCACTTTGGCACCCACTCAGAGATTGAGTCCTGGCGAGGCCTTGCTGCCTGTATCCCAGGGGGGTGCTGAAAAGCCTCCTGAGCTGCCAGCAAGAAGTGGGCTGGAGCCTCCGGCCCCTAGCCCTTTATCCCCGACCTCCCCCCCCAGCTCACCCAATGACTGGCCTCAGGAGAGGAGTCCTGGGGGTTGCTCAGACAGTGGCAGTCCAAGGGGCCCTGTGCCCACCACGCTACCCGGCCTCCGCCATGCCCCCTGGCAGGGCCTTCGAGAGCCACCGGACAGCCCGGATGGGTCCCCCCTCACCCCTGTACCTACCCAGATGCCCTGGCTTGTGGCCAGCCCTGAGCCACCTCAGAGCTCACCCACGCCTGCCTTCCCCGTGGCAGCATCCTATGATCTCAATGGCCCCACCCAGCCCCCACTTCCTGAGAAACGCCACCTGCCGGGGCCTGGGCAACAGCCAGGCCCCTGGGGCCCAGAGCAGGCATCACCACCAGCCAGAGGCACCAGCCACCATGTCACCTTTGCACCTCAGCTCCCAGATAACACCCCTCAACCCCCAGGTATAAAGGCCTTGAGGGAGGGGGTGTGGGGGGCCACCTTGGGAGAGCCCTTTTTCCCAGGGACCGGCATGGCGTAGGCACTTGGGAGCCCTGGGACCAAGCTCAGTCCTTCCCTGTCCTAGAGCCTCCCCTGCAAGAGAGCCAGAGCAACGTCAAGTTTGTCCAGGATACATCCAAGTTCTGGTACAAGCCACACCTGTCCCGTGACCAAGGTGAGAAGCCAGCCTGGCCACCACTCCCCCCCTCCAGGGCTCTGTCTGGGCTTTGCCCGATCCAGCCTTCCAGTTGGCGCCCTTACTGCCTCCTCACTAGCAGGTGATTCTCAGCTTCGTGCCCAAGGAGGTTTAGACTTGATGTTGTCAATGCTCTCCCTGCTGATTCTAAAGTTCTGTACCCAGATGCCCAACACTGCCCCCGCTGTGAGGACAGGGGCCTGGGGAGCTGGCTGGCAGAGCCAAGAAGTGGCCACATGGGGCTCAGCCAGCCACTGTGAACACTTCTCCTGCCTCCCCCAGCCATCGCCCTGCTGAAGGACAAGGACCCTGGGGCCTTCCTCATCAGGGACAGTCATTCATTCCAAGGAGCCTATGGACTGGCCCTCAAGGTGGCTACACCCCCACCCAGTGCTCAGCCCTGGAAAGGTACAGACACCCAGACCCACGTGAGAAGGGGAGTGGAGCGGGGCAGGTACAGAGGCAAGACAAGGGGTGGTGGGCCATGCCACTTCTCGGTGGGAGGGACAGGAAGTGACTCTCACGCTCTGGAAAGAATCCCAGCAGGACAGAAGGCAGGAACCTGGAATCTGATAAAGCCTTTCTCTCCCCTCCCGGCCTCTCAGGGGACCCCTTGGAACAGCTGGTCCGCCATTTTCTTATTGAGACTGGGCCCAAAGGTGTGAAGATCAAGGGTTGTCCCAGTGAGCCCTACTTTGGTGAGAAGCTGGGGCTGGGGAGGCTACACTGGGTTGGTTTAGGGAGGCCAAGGGATTTCAGGAGGGTGGAGGGAAGGTTGGGGCTACCTGCGGGCACCCCAGGACTTCTCTCACCTCTCGCTGCAGGCAGCCTGTCCGCCCTGGTCTCCCAGCACTCCATCTCTCCCCTGTCCCTGCCCTGCTGCCTGCGCATTCCCAGCAAAGGTGGGTGTTTTGTCTGTCCATCCACCTCTCTCCACCCACTGCAGCCTGCCTTCCCTTGGGATGGCAGAGGGAATTCTGCAGCTTCTCTTGAATGCCACTCCCTGCTGACCTGCCTGCTGGCCCTTCCCTTCAGATCCTCTGGAGGAGACCCCAGAGATCCCAGTGCCTGCCAACATGAGCACAGCCGCAGATCTCCTGCGTCAGGGCGCCGGTAGGGGCCTCTCCCTCCCCCTTCCTCTCCCTGGACACCAAGGGGGCACTGCGGATACAGGCATAGCACACTGAAAGGCCTTGAGATGGACAGGCCCTGGCAGATGCTTTTAAACCCATAAAGGCAGGGGGAGCCTCATATTTGTAGGGAGGTTGGATAAGGGGGTCCTCAGTCTGGGTTCTCAAAGTTTTATGAACATGAGAATCCTGGGGAGGGGGCTCGTCAGAATGCAGATTCTCAGGCCTCATTCCAGCATCTCTGACTATAGATCTGGGGTTCATAGAATCTGCCTTTTTCATAGGTTACCTTTGTGATTCCAATGCATTTTGAGCAGAGCTAGCCAGGGAAAGTACAAGAGCTGGTGGGGTGGAGGGGTGGAGGAGACAAATCTCAGGGCTGACGGAGCCAGTGCTCCCCCAACTCTCTTCCTGCCTCACAGCCTGCAGTGTGCTCTACCTGACTTCAGTGGAGACTGAGTCACTGACCGGCCCCCAGGCGGTCGCCCGGGCAAGCTCGGCAGCTCTGGGCTGCAGCCCCCGCCCAACACCAGCCGTAGTGCACTTCAAGGTCTCAGCCCAGGGCATTACCCTGACAGACAACCAAAGGAAGTGAGTGTGTGCGCTGTGCTCCTGGGGAACCCCAAACATAGGCCCTTGGGACCCCAATTTCTGGGCGTGACTCCCCCTCCCTCCTCTTCATAGGCTCTTCTTTCGCCGCCATTATCCAGTGAACAGCATCACCTTCTCCAGCACTGACCCTCAGGACCGGAGGTGACACTCCCTTCCAGCCCTTTCTCCCCACAGACCTGTCCCCCGTCCCATCAGGCCCTACAGACTGGTCCCCTGGCCCAGCTCCTCCTTTGGTAGCCATTCCCTGGGGTGCATTCCTTCACAGTTCTTTTCCTTCTGCAGATGGACCAACCCCGATGGGACCACCTCCAAGTAAGCTTCCCATTAGTGCAATCTCTTCCCTCCACGGGGTTTACGTGTCTCCTTCCTCCCCAACCCGGACTCTGTAGTCCCTTGGGGAAGGGTGCTGAGCCCCCACCTGACCGCCTTTGTACCCCTAGGATCTTTGGTTTCGTGGCCAAGAAGCCGGGAAGCCCCTGGGAGAATGTGTGTCACCTCTTTGCAGAGCTTGACCCAGATCAGCCTGCAGGCGCCATTGTCACCTTCATCACCAAAGTTCTACTGGGCCAGAGAAAATGAAGGAAGGCCACCAGCTCAGAGCCCACATCAACACTGCGTCCCTCCCAGCATCCCACAGCCCTCACTTCCCCTGGCCTGGACCCAGGATCCAGCCATCTCCCTTAGGAATAGGCAGTGGGCATCAGCCTGGGACACTGCTCTCCTTCCCCGCCCCCAGCCTGCTAAGCTAAGTGGACGGGCCCATGAGATGACCTTGCACGTGAGCAGATGGCAGAGATGGGCATGTGAAGGGTGAGGAGGCATCAGCAGTTGAGCTCTGGAAGAGATCAGGACAGCCCCACCTGTACACCGTCAGCCCTGGAGAGGAGCCAGTTCTACCCAGCTGCAGGTCCCAGCATGGCAGGGAGAGGGGAGCAGTGTGGGGAGCTATGTACTCCCTTCTCTGCCTTCTCCTCTGAGCAGAGAGATCAGAGTGGGATCACATGAAAGGGGGGGGAAAGAGTCTATTTTTGTCTAATAATAAAGAATTTCTATAATGTTTACTTGGAGTCGTGCCTATTCACAGGAAGGGCAAAGTCCACGTCTTCCAGGGGCGTACCTGTGCAGGGGGCATCCCATCTTCAGAGCCAGTTCCATGGAGCACACGCAGCCCCATCCTGGGCCTCACATTGGTCCACATGTCCCAGTGAGCAAGCTGCCCTCGGCTGCCCCCACTTCAGCCCTGTCCCCAGCCCTATGTACTAGAAAGGACTCCTGTGTCCTGGCCATGCTGATAAATATGGAAACTCCATCTTTATTGGTTGTATAAACATCTCTGTCTGTACATACATTTCATACATCATAGTGCAGGGACTGAAGGGAGGGCCCACGGGGCAGCCCCAGCAGCACAACAGCTACCCCCGCTTTCCCCAAAGCCCTATCCGCTCTGTGCAAACCAAGGCCAACAGCTTCTGCTCCCGCTTCCTCCCAGGAGAAGTCACTGTATGGAGAGGGGGTCAGAGGTCAAGGGGCTAGGAGACGAGGTCTTGGTGGGGGAAGACACGCATAAGTGCTAGAATCAAACACTGAAGCAAAACGGACAAGTGGCACAGGCAGCAAGCAGGGGAGGAAGGGGAGAGGAGGCCAGCTGCCCTCGGGGACCCCCGTGAGGGCATTGGAGTCCACCTCTCTACCACAGGAGAGACATGCGCAGCCTGCACCCCAGGGAACCAGACACAAGGGGGCCACTGGTAGACGAAGGATGGCACGAAGGCCTGTCTCTGCCCCCACCTGACAGCCCCTCTCTCACCATTAAACACCCATGTATGTGTGTCCAGCTGGGGGAGCCGGGGGCTGATTCTCTGTGGAATCTGGTGCCGGAACAGGTGGTGAGGGAGGAAGCGGTTCTCAGGAGAAAGGACAGAGACTCTAGGGACAGCAGTGAGTGGAAGGAGAGAGGGCCCCCGGCCCAGCCAGGGGGGTGATAGCAGCAACTGATTCCCATGATGAGGACAGGGAACAAAAAAGAAGAAATGCAAAAAGAAATACTGTGGGAAATAGGGGAGGGGCTGTCTGCTCCACCCTCTGCAGAGCCTCAGGCCCAAACAGCCGCTGAGGCAGGGTGCTCACTCCTCCACCCACATGGGCCAGTGGGGACAGTGGGACATGGAACCCCTGACCAAAGCAAGTGGGACCCACTGATAGAACACTATATTTGGGTCTGCCCCTGTCCAACCAGGGACTAGGGCCCAGGGACTGATGATAGGGGTGGTACTGGGTCAGAAATATGGGCTTGGCAGGGGCCTAACCTAGTAGGGGCAGAGTGACTATACCCTTGGGGCCTCAGGTAAAGAAATCCTCAGGGAAGTCAGGAACTGGGTACCCGGTCCTGTAAAGGGGCAGGAGAGAGAGAAGGGGCCGGTGTGTGAGAAAATCCCTAGCCACTCAAGGGGTGCAGGTCCACTTTGACTTTCTCGCCACAGCTCAGCATTCCGATGGTGGGGAAGAAGCCCCCAGAGGGTACAACAGCATCCTTCTTCCCAATGATCTTGCCATTCCGAGTAAAGAACACCTGAGGGTGGGGTGGGGAGAAGAATGGAGCAGGCAGCTCTGGCCTCTTCTCTGAGGATGTACCAGCTAGCTACACAGGACTGAACCCCACTCACTCCCAAATCCCAGCATCGCTGGCGGAGAGACTTGGGGTGATGCACGAAGTGACCACAAGAGGGCGCCCTAAGACTGGAAACCAAGTCTCTCGGCAACTCGGCACTCCCAATGCCTCAGAATATGAACACACCCACAGCAAGGCCAGGCCTTCCCTCTTCCCTACCCGGGCTCCACTTTCTATTCCCAACAACACCAGCCCTTGCCCAGGCCCAAGAACCCTAGTCCAACCCCAAACCTTCCACACTCACCACCACCTTCTTGCCCTCATGCTCCTGCTCTATCTCTTCCCCATCTTCTTCCTCTTCTTCTTCCTCCTCTTCCTCTTCCCCTTCCTGGTGCAGGTACATAACATTCCGGACATTCCGGACGGCTCGGGCAGTCGGGGACAGAATCACTGTGTCACAACTGTCATCACTGTCACCTAGAAGACCAGAAAACCTGAGCTCCTGGAGTACTGCCCCCGCCCTCCACCTGACCAGCCTGCTTGGCCCCACCCCACTCACCCTCACTGTCCAGAATGTAGTCCCGCGGGAACATGATCCCACAGCCCATAATGTCCCCTTTGTAACAGCGTGGCCCAAAGGGGTCCCCCACACCGCTGCCATGGAAGATCTTCCCATCATCTGTTGGGAGGGGAGAGAGCATACAGTGAAGGAGGGGCTGACACTCTACACCCTCCCCCCGGCCCAAGCAGCCCCTGCTTGAAGTTGACATTTCCCTACCCCATCTCTCTGGCTCAGAGGAAGGGAGAAGACAGGTGAAACAAAGATATAGAGACAGAAGCGGGAAGAGGGCTCCAGATTAAAAAATAGAAGGAGTCCAGCCAGTGTGGCTCAGGGTTGAGCGTTGACCTATGAACCAGGAGGTCATGGTTCAATTCCCAGTCAGGGCACGTGCCCAAGTTGCGGGCTTGATCCCCAGTAGGGGGTTTGTAATGATTCTCTCTCGTCATTGATGTTTCTATCTCTCTCCCTCTCCCTTCCTCTCTGAAATCAATAAAAATATATTAAAAATATACATAGAGAGAGACAATGAGGGCCCACTTCAAGAGCTAAGGGGGAGAGTCCTCAGGGAGCTGGTCAGAGAGGGGAGGGGAGCCAGGGATGGGGGAGGTGGGACCAGGAACTCACGGTTTGTTCTTTCTAAAGAAAGGCCCAAAGGAAGTCAAGCTGACCAAAAAAAGAAAATGCAGAATCTGCAGGAAGGGCACAGAGGGAGCCAACTCAGAGGCCTGGAATGTCCAGCTTGGGCCCAGATCCCCGCCCTTGCTCTGCTCCCCGGGCTTGGAGGGCTTGGAGGAAACACAGATGAGGAGAAAGCAGCTTTGGAAGGAAAGCAGATGACGGCAGGAAAAATCTCTCCAGCCAGATGCTGGAGGAGAGGCCACTTGTGAGGGGTCAAGAAAATGGATGTCCCTGAGTCTCTACATCTCCCACAACCCCAGCTTCCCCAGGGCAGCCCCTGCTTACCTGCATGGTAAGCCACAGACCCTCTGCTCCAGCCAGGGTGCCTGTTCTTGGGATAATCCTGCAGAAAAAAGAAAAAAAGAAAACCTGTGGTACAGTGCACAAAAGAGGACAGGAGGGAGTGGCATCTGAACCTCCCGTCTTCTGGAATAGGCTACAACCCAGACGGCTGCTCACCACCCCTGCAGCCTCACCCCTTCAAGAGCTTGAGGTTGCAGGGGAAGCAGAGAAGGTAAGAGGGGTTCTTGGCTTTCCTGGCCTGGGCTGCAAGCTGTGCCCACCCCACACCCAGGGCTCAGTGTGTGTGATACAGTCACAACACTCTCAGGTCCCAGGTCACTTGGGGTCTGTACCCTTACACAGCAGACACACACAACCAGGCTCTGTCCCCGGTTAAGACCTGCCCTCTGCAACCTGGCCCCTAGATTTCCCAAGATCCCCCAGACCCATCCCAAAAGCCCCAGAGCTGAGCAGCTCCACAGGCAAAAGCAGCACTAGTGCCCACCTTCCGGGCCAGCCCCAAGGCGATGTAGCATTTCTCTCCAGGGTCTACGATCTCCACCTCGAAGTAGTGGCTCCGAGTGCTCAGTGGGTGCCGGGCCTGGGCCAGCCCTACATCAACGATGCTCTTGCCCTTGCCCAAGTACTCCAGCAGCTGTGGGGAAGAGTCGGGGGGAAGGTAAGGAGGCAGGCTGACACCGCCCTGGAAACCGGGTCCCAAGGCCATCTGGGGACCAGTTTCCTAATGCTGCACCTGCCTGCCTACTGAGCCTTGTTTTGCGGGAGATAGAGAGAGCAGCACAGCAATCCAGATGGCTGAGCGCTGGGAGCCACACTAGACTACTAGTACATCATCACTTCCCTGAATAGCCCTGCTGGGAAAGGTACACCCAGGGCCCCTGAACAAGAGAAAAGGCGAAGTGAAGACGAGGCTCAGAGGAGACCCGACCACTTTCATAGAGGGCCTAATGGGGACAGGTAAGGTGCCAACTCTAGATGTTTGGGGGAGAGGAGGGAAGCTCAGAAGCCAATTCCGTCTGGGATGGAACTGAAATAATTTCTCAAGGTTTTTGTTTTACTTGACTTCAAACAAAACTGTTCATAGCTGGGGTCAGGGAGGTGCCGAGGGGAGCCAGAACTCAGGAGGACAGCTCTACTCCTTCATTTAATGTGAGGGAGGGGAGCAGCAGAACAAAGCTAGGAAGGCAAGTTTTCCGGTTCCCAGCCCCTCGTGGCTCTTTGAAGCTGGAGCAGAGGTGTGGAGAGGGGACGAGAGGGGACATGAATGAAGGGCTTTTGGGGCTCTTTAGTCCACAATGGTCCTGCCTGGGCATGATGGGGCGGCAACCCCCAATCTGGGAGGATTTATTTATCAGTTGTCATGGTAATAACAGAACTATGACTCAACCCCATTCCCTCTTTCCCACCTTCAGCACCACCTGGGATTCCTTAATCCCTTTTAAATTAGCCAAACTGCTCCTTAAGACTTTATTTTACCTTCCCACCTTGCAGCCCTGAAGAATACACATTCCCTGGGGACCTCCTTCACATATTCCTGGAAGCCTTGGGACACTGGCCTCTCACCCCACCAAAGAGCACCTGCCTGAACGGGAAAGGAACTATGTCACCCGCACCTACAAGGAAGCCTGTCTTCAGCACCCCTTCAGAGAGGAAATACAGGGACTTGGTCCCCTTCTCAGCTCTGGATTCCCAAAGCCCTGCCACCTCAAGCCCATCCTCCCTTCCTCACCAAAGAGAACTGGAGGCGGGGGTGGGGGCGGGTTCAGCATAAAAGCCAGAGATGTACAGACCACCTAAATCCACACCCGGCTGACTCTTCTCTCCTTCCTGCAGCCAGGGCCTCACACATCTCGGGTTACACTGGCTCTTTTCTATTCCACTCCTGGCCCAGGCTTCCCCATACACCGCACTGCTCTTTTTCATCAGAGACGGATACCTTGCATCAGCATCACATTCTGAACTTCCAGACACTGATTAAGACCCACACTGTTTAGATTCTGTTTATGGGCCTCTGCGTGTTCTCTGCTCGGCAGGGGTTCCTGCTCTGCACCTCTCCCCACAAGCCGGAAGGGTTGTAGCTTGATGCACACTAAGGAGCTTCCATCCCACCCAGTCTGAGCTGCCCCCAGACCACCCTCTCCACCCAGCACTGCAGAACTGGGTGGGAGACCCTACAGCTGCCCTTGACCCACTCCATCCAACTGGCCTCAGCATAGGAAACAAAGTGTTCTCCACTCCAGGGCCAAGAGACAGCGGATCCAGACCCTGATCCTTGGGAAAAACCCGCCCGACCGTTCTCTCTAGCTCAGCCCTGAGAAGAGCAGCACTGCAGTTTCGTCTATGGATAGGATGGGGATGCTTCTTTAAGCCAAAAGGCCAGGAAGATGAAACACACTAACACGGGACTCTAAAACCCACTCCCCACGCCACAGAGCAGTTCAGGCAGACTGCTGATGGCCTGCAAGACTAGATCCCTGCACAATCTGCCCTCCTCAAGAGAGGAGCCACCCACCCCTCAGGTCAGAAGCCACCCCAATTCATCTGGTCCTTTTGGATCCATTCACCTGCTCCTGGGCAAAGTCCCCCTAAGCTTTCCAGAACCTTCTCGGAGAACTTAAGGGATGGAGTGAGGGCAAGTTTGGCCTCCCTGACAGATCCTTGCTTCAATGCACTCCTCCCCTCCTTAGACTAGGGCTATTAGGCACCTAGAGGAGAATCTTAGTTGCTAGAAGCCTGATGCTGGTCCCTTAATCTGTGCCTCAGATGCCCCTTAGTTTGAAAGAGAATCAACCAGACCGGGGTTCATATCCTAACTCCTATTACTTACTAGCCACTAACCTTGAGCACTTCTTTAAGCCTAAATTTCCTCATCAGTAAAATCAGGACCTCTAAAAATAGGTGAGAAGACGAAATTAAGTGTCAAGTGCTTAGCACAGAGCCTGACACCCCGTAGGTGATCAATACACATTTCTGCCTTTCCATAAATCAGAAATGGGGGTTATACTGGAACAGGCCAACATATCAGTGCTCCCTAAACATTAATAGTCACCCCAAAGCTACAGCAGACTGGAAATGCCCATCACAAATTAGGAAATGATCTTTCATCTCAGCCTTTACGTCCAACGGGAACAGTCCCTTAGGCTCCCAGCACTAAGCACTGTTTCCCCAAGACAAATGACCACTTCCCAGATGACTCTACCCCAACTGACCAACTGTCCTCCCCCGGTGTTTCTCTTCAGGCAGTGCCCAATCTGCAGGAATGTTCCTCTGTATCTTTGGTGGAGGTAGAGGGAACCCTTTCCTTGGGGCTCTCATGCCCCCCTGCCTCTTATGTGTCCCTCCAAACACAACCAAAGCCTTGAGAGGCCAAATAGGTGGACTCAATGCCAGAGTGGAGGCTGCAGACCAGAGTGCAGACAGCCGACTGTACTCCCCCTCTCCTTGTATCAGCAGCACTTCTCAGCCTGTGCTCTCTACTGGTATCTGCCCTCCTCTTGCCAGCGGAAGCCCTTATCCCTCTTGACAGGAGCAACGAAAGGCTCAGTGCCCTGAGGGCCTAGAGGCAGCTGAAACAGGAACCAAGAACATGCTCCCCACCAGCCAGCTCAGGCCCTAACACGGTCTCCCCCTGAGTTGGGGCCATGAAGGGCCCCTGGGAGGGTGAGACCTCATTCACCCCCTTTGTGTACCAAAGCTGTTGCCCCGTCACTAAGGAGTTGTCAGAGGAGCTCTGACTAGAAAACAAAGACAGAATGAGTCTAATCTCCAAGCTTTACCAACCGTATCCCCCATCCTCCACTCATTAGCTTATTGTGCAAGGCCTTGGGGCATGGATGAGGTGAGGGGCAACACCCCCATTCCTGAGCAATGCAGCAGCAACACTCCAACACCCTCAGAGTTCCAGGAAGGGGGACACTTTCAGAGGGGAAACTGAGGCCACTGGAAGCAGGGGAAGAATTCCACTCAAGAAAGAGCCAGGTCTTGGCTGGTGTGGCTCAGTTGGTTAGGCATTGTCAGGGAATTGTCCGTGCACCGAAAGTTTTGCTGGTTTGATTCCCAGTCAGGGTACATGCCCAGGTTGCAGGTTCAATCCTCGGTAGGGGGCATGCTGGAGGCAGCTGACTGATGTATCACTCTCACATCAATGTCTCTCTCTCCCTCTCCCTTCCTCTCTCTCTAAAAATCAATAAAAAAATTTTTTTTAAAAAATAAAGAGCCAGGTCTGACTAATATAGACACTCAGATTAAGCAAACATGACTGAAAATTAGCACCTGTTGAATCTAGGTAGTGGGTATATGACTGTTCACTGTACTGTTTTTTCAACTTTTCTGTATGTTTAAAATTTTTCATAATGAATGTAGGAGAGAAAAAAAGTCAGAAATTGAATTTGCTTTTCTTTATGGGAAGAATCAGTGAGACGGGAGAAGAAAGGATGATTGAGATTCCAAAACTGAGAAAAAGGCTAGGAATAAAAGAATTCCAAGGCAACCAAATAAACTCACCCAGGAGGGCCTTGGCTGAAGGACAAGAGAATCCCTGGGAAGTAGGAATTGAGGCCCAGGAACTCCAGATTCATTTTAGGAGAAGGGGGCAGGAAGAAGGGAGATGATTGGCGACAGGAGAGCGGACTTGGACAGAAGGTAACAGCACATATTAGACAGTGGAAAGGCAGTGGGTAGGGGTCAAAGAATGAATATCTGGGCTTAGTTTTGTCACTAATTCACTTTTTTAAAAAGTTTAAATATATTTTTATTGATTTCAGAGATGAAGGGAGAGAGAGAGAGAGAGAGAGAGAGAGAGAGAGAGAGAGAGAGAGAGAGAGAGAAACATCAATGGTGAGAGAGAATCACTGATCAACTGCCTCCCACACACCCCACACTGGAGATCGAGCCCACAACCCAGGTATGTGCCCTGACTGGAATCGAACCGTGACCTCCTGGTTCATAGGTCGATGCTCAACCACTGAGCCTGAGCCACACTGGCCAGGTACAAATTCACTTTTTGACATTTGAACAAGTCTCTTCACTTCTCTGGGACTGTTTTTGCATCAATAGCATAACATGATATTTGGGGATGTGTAGCTGTCACAATGTCCAGAGGCAGAGATGCTAAGCATCCTGTCCATCAAGGAAGTGTCTCACCTAAAATGCCCAACAGCCTTCGTACTAAGAAACCCTGGACTAGATGGCACCAAAGCCTCTCCCAAATCTTTATGGTTCTAAAGGGTGCTCTCCTGGGAACATCACCCAGGGCAGGATAAACAAGCTTCAACACAGCAAAGGTAAGGGCTCCCAGAGAGGGGAATGATAAAACAGGAAAGGCAAAGAGGAGAAAGAGCCATGCTGAACACAGAAATAGGAGGCACAGGCATGGTCCCAATGACCTCTCCTAGGCTCCTCTAGATGACACAACTTTGATTGCTGGATCAGAAATTCAGTGCATGATGACAAAAGGGAGGGGATCAAGAGACAAGTGGGATGGGAGGCCCAGGGAATGAAAGAAACTGGGTAAATCACCCTTATTTGAAAGATGGGGCAGTGGGCAAGATTGGAATAAAGGCACATTTCCTTCAGGAGACACATGCCCAATCTGCCCCAGAGGAGCAAGTGTTCAGGGAGTAGTGTGCTCGCCCTGCTAGCTGTTAGAAGCTGGAGTGAGGGTCTGAAAAAAAGAGCCAAACTTAACAGCTTATGTCTAAGAAAGAAAAAAGTTCTTCAACTCATGGCCTGAGGGTGTTGGGGGAAGGGCAGAGGGGAATGAAGGCTATTTATAAATGTCTACAGGATTCTGCATCAATTAGGAAAGATTGCCTGGGAGGAGCCGGGAACAGAGTGGGGACAGGTCCAGGCAGGGAAAGGATGCCAGGAAAACACTCCTGAGGCGAGGTCAAGGACGAGAGCGGGAACACAGCCCTGGCTCAGTCCCAAGGTCAACTCTGTAGATGTTGTCAAAATGGTGGTGGAAGTGGAAAAGAAAGAGAAGAGACAATGATCTTGGAGTGGACACCGGAGGCCTCCTGACTCACAGCCACTGCAGTCCTTGAACCCTCGTGTCAGAAGGGGGTGCAGAGTGTCCGAAGCAACAGGACGACACACTTTCTGCCATTTTCCTTGAGTTTAACTCACCTTGAACTCCAGAAGGGCGGGAGGGGGGCCTTGCTCATAATCCACTCCCACTCCCAACCCCCCCACTGCTTCTGTTTTGCTATCAAAGGCTGATTTGAAAACAGCCTGGGTTGGGGTGAGAAGGCCAGAGGATGGAGAAAAGGTTGAACTGGGAGCAAGGGGGCAGCAGAGGGACAATTCGAAGTGGGAGGTCTGTACAGTCCACTAGAGACCAGGGCCAGACCCCGACTCAGCATCCATTCACTCCCAACCTAGCATGAGGTACAGAGTGTAGATGTGAAGGTGCATAAACGTCCCAAGAAAATTTAAAATCCAGGAAAAGACTAAAGCAGGCATGACAAGATGAATAAAAAAGCAAGTCGTGACATGTCAAGGATTCTCACCGACCTTTCTATGCCTCTAGTCTCACCCTCTATAAAATGTAGAGGGAAGACAGAAGAGATTGACATTGACGCTTACTCAAAATGATCTCAAAGAACCTTTCCACATGAGCAGGACTTGTGACCACACTTGCCCCACAGCAGTGAATGGAAAGCCTGGGGAGCTAAGCTGTGATCAAGCCCAACGGGGGAGCCAGGCATCCTGCCTCCCAGTCAGGCCCAGCCTCTCAAAGGCAGGTGTGCAGGGCAGCAGGGCTCACCAGGTGTCAAAGGAACCAAAGAAGACAAAGGAGAACTACTACTTGTTCCGAGAGTAAAGCTCTCAAATGAAGGGGATGGGAAGAAAGCGAATCCGTGCTAAGAAGAAAACAGATTAAAAAAATCATGTCAAGATTCCCCCAGGCTATCCTACCAAAATTCCCATTTTCCAAAACCTTACAAAAGACACTGTCCTCACCCCCAATTCTAAGCAATTCAGATGTGCTTATGTGGCCCACAGGTGTCCTGCCCAGCCCTCCCACCCACCCCCACTGTCCCTTACTTACAGTTCCACAGACTCTGACATCATGCAGCCGGCCCCATTCGTCCTCATAACTGTCCACCATCATGACACTGTCATCCTCACGGCCCAGCTCAGCGTTGAGGTGCAGCCGTACCTCCTCACCCAGGGAGTGCATGCCCACTGCTGGGAACAGCCCGTCTGGGGACATGGGCATGATGGTGGAGCCCACCTGCAGTGGGGGAGGGAGGGAGCTGCCATCAGGCTCACTTTTGCATAGCTCATCTAATTCTTACAGGCTACTTTTGAGATGATGCAAAATAATTATCACATACACTGACAGACAGAAAAACAGAAGTGTTGAAAAAAATGTAAAGCTGCTAAGTACTCCTAGCCGAGCAAGGTATGCAGAGCTAGAAGGCAAACACAAGGCTCTCAACTTGCTGCCAAATACGTTTGGTATGAGTGCGTGTGCTCTGAGGCAGGAAAGCCCTGAGGCCTAGGTGCTGAGGGAATAGGACTTCTCAGCCTGGGCCTGAGGAAGCAATTTTCCCAGGGTGGGGTTCAGAGCTGGTGGCTCCCCTGCTGTGTGCGTTATCCCATCTTTTCCCTACTACTAGTCCCTCTCAGAAGAAAGGGAAGGAGAAGTGACACAAAGAAAATAAACACAGAAAGGACATATCCTCGAAAGTATTCAAGTCAAAAACCCAAAGAGGACCTCCAGCTTATGTAGCCAGGCCATAATCTTCTCTTCTTTGTTCCTGCTCAAAACCCTCTCCCTGCCGAACCGGTTTGGCTCAGTGGATAGAGCGTCGGCCTGCGGACTGAGGGGTCCCGGGTTCGATTCCGGTCAAGGGCATGTACCTTGGTTGCGGGCACATCCCCAGTAGGGGGCGTGCAGGAGGCAGCTGATCGATCTCTCTCATCGATGTTTCTAACTCTCTATCCCTCTCCCTTCTTCTCTGTAAAAAATCAATAAAATATATTAAAAAAAAAAAAAAAACCCTCTCCCAATTGTGTCCCCCACAATTTCTGCTCATCCTCCATTGCACTAACTGCCCCTCTGCATCTTTCATCTGGGTAATGCCCCAGCTTCACCTGGGCAGGGAAGTGTCTTCTACACGCAGGAGACTTCAGGAGAACCTGAGGCTGGACTGAAGGAGATGGGAACTGCGCCTGTGGGTCCCTGGGCAAGCGCCAGCCAGCAGACTCTTATCACTCCCACAGATTCTTACACAGCTCCAAACTGCTTAAACCACCTGGGATTTCCACTTACCCGCTTCCCATTTTTGGTGAAGAAGATCTGAGCAGTCTGCACATCAAAGGACACAGGCTCAATACCGCAGCCAATCCGGTCCCCGGAGTTGCACTTTGACCCAAACTGGCGGCCCTTGGCTCGGCCATTGTACAGCCTGTGGACAGAGTAGCGCAGACACAGGGCCTGAGCTGAGCCTCCCAACTTCTCCCCAGTGCCAATAGCTGAGGCCTCACCTTGCTGCTCCCAGTCATTCTGTGACGACATCTACCTATGTCCTAGCACAAGCTCCACACTTCCTCTAAGTCTACAAACCTCCAAGAGTAGCCATTAGGCCATCTTCCTGTCCTGATCAGAAAAGTCTATGAAAATACCCCAAGATAGGTGAAGGAATGGCAAAAGCCACTCAGAGGTAAGTCCTTTATAGCTAAGACTAGTGGCCCTATTGCATGAAATTCGTGCACAGGGGGTGAGGCAGGGAGTCCCTCAGGCCAGCCAGCACCCTCTCCAATCAGGGACCCCTTGGGGTATGTCCGACTGCCTGATCTCACCCCCAACTGCCCTCCCCTGCTGGCCTGATCGCCCCTAACTGCCTCTGTCTCGGCCCCCACCACCATGGCTTTGTCTGGAAGGAAGTCAGACATCTGGAAGATGGCCGGTCGACCCAGTCTAATTAGCATATTACCCTTTTATTAGTATAGATTCCCTAACCCCCGAATCCATAGCCAGGAGGTTAGGTTCCGCAGGAGGCAACTCACTTGCCATCATCAGCATGGTAGGCTACAGAGTCAGGCAACCAGCCAGGCTGGTGATCCAAACTGTAGTACTGAGGGACCAGCCCCACAGCAATGGTGCCTCGGACACCACTGTCCACAATAGACACCTGGAGGGAGGAGAGCAGGGCACAGTTAGCACAGATGGGAAATGGGAGCTGCTGTTTGTGTGGGGAAGGGAGGCTAGACATCAAAGGGGACTGAGGCTCAAAGAGACAACAGACATGGGAATCAGAGGAAAAGACAGGGCACTCAGAGGGGGAACTGGGAGAGTGGGGCCTGCTTTACCATGATTACTTAGAAAATAATTTCCAATTAATGGATAGGACACGAAGTAGATGCTGGGCTTGGGTTAACGGGTGGGAAAAGACACGGGTCAAAGTCTACTTAGATGAGGGGCAGGAGAGCAGAAGGGATGGCGTGACAGGACTCCAGGGCACCTATCTCTCAGATTAGGCACCATGCTGTCCTGTGCCCTTTCCCCAGCCAACAGGTCAACAGGACAGCTCTGATGGAAAATGAAAAGGCCCAGACTGTGAATCTAGTAAAAAAAAAAAAAAAAAAAGGTTCTTGGAGCTTAACAGTCTCACCCCCTGCTCGGCCCACCTCAAAATAATTGCTGTCCTTGGTCAGAGGTCGAGAAGCCACATAGCAGCCAACTTCACCGGAGTTTCCATGGTAACTGAAGGAGGAATGAGTGGGAAGTTTCATTAGCAACCGAGTCCAGGAGTTGGGAGAAGGGCCTCATCTCCAGCCCCCACCCTGCGAAGGCCAGCACAGAGGAGAATCCATTAGGCCACACTTGAGGACATCTGCACAGACACCATAACAAGATCCTTGAGGTCCTCCGGCTGCCTCCAATCAGGGTCCAACCCACCCTGACCACTGCAAGCCTGGTTTCCTCATTTCCAGGGGGAGACGAAAGCAGAGCCTCCCTTAGCTACTTACGAGGGGTCTCACAACTGTCTAACCTCAATCCCTCCTGCTGCAGCTCCGGCCCTTTTCCTCTGGCTCTGTCCTCCTGGAGCTGGAGAACGGCTGGCTGGCCTCTATCCTCTGGACCAGAGCCCTTCGCAGACTGGAAGACAGTTATGCAGTCCCCACTCCTCCGCTTTCTTGTTTCCAGGCTACATAGCACTACTCTCTTCCCCCGTCAATGACAACTTTGTGAGTTAGGCTCGAAAGGAGTCGGGGAAGGGGTACAAGCCCGAAAAGAGAGAGAAAAGAAACACAATCCAAAGGGTTGTCGGGTGGTGAGCAGGGTGCATTACAGAACTGTCCTTCCCCAGACAGGAACTCCTCTGCCTTTGAAATGGCCACTCTTCACCTAAGGCAACGAGACACAGGAAGGAGACCCCTGGAACCTCTCACCATCCTCCTCTCCCCACCCACAGGTCTGTCCTCTGCACAAGATGGAGGACCTCACTCTCGGGCGCCTGGGCAACGCCTGAGACGCCCGGCAGCCTCCTGCCTCTCACACGGCTGCTTCCGATGAGGCCAGGAGAGTGACCCCGAGGCACCGGCAGAAGCAAGTGCAGGGGGAGCGGCACTGCTCCCCTCGGAAAGGCCGCCACGGTCAACAGCCTTCCCCTCCCAGGGCCGTGCTGACCGTCCTCTGCCTCAAAAGACGCCGGTGTTCAGCTCTCAGATCTGGCACAAGAAGGGAAACTTGGAAAACTCCCCCAAACTCACCTCAGAGTGTCTCCATCTACAAGAATGTGCTTGAACCTCTCCTGATACCGGAAGGCGCGCACCTCCCGAATCTCCCGGATCCGCCGGCGCCAGTTCAGAAACCGGTAGTGCAGATTGAGGTCATCCATCTTGTTCATGAGAACAAACCTGTGGGTGGGGAGACAGGGGCTGAGGAGGAAGCAGGCCCTCAGCACAGCATCTCCGCCCGTTTCACCAGAAACCTGGGGAGGGCGCTGGACTGGAAGCCAGTTGCCCAGATCGACCTCCACCATCTCCGTCCTCATCCTTTCCTTCGACGAACATTTACAGTTCTAGGTGCTGCAGACACACTGTGCGCGCGATGGTGGGGGACGCCTGCTCTCACAGGGCTCCCACTGCAGTGTAAGGGGGCAAGCCGGGCGACAACCAGACGTAACCACGTCAGACACGGGAGGAAAGGCGGAGTGAGGGGATCAGGAACATGGGGTGACCTCCGCCTAAAGAAGGCCCCTCTCTGAGGAGGTGACATCAGAGTTGCGAGGAGAAGGAGCCGGGCACAGGCGGCCAGGACGCAGGCCCTGGGGTGGAAGGGAGCTGGCCTGCAGAGAAATAAAAGGCCAGGGTGGCTGGCGTGTGAGGAACGGGGAAGATGACCCTGGAGGGGGCGAGGAGGAGGCAGGGGCCGGAGCAAGGCCCTGGAGACCATCGTGAGGCGTCGGTAATGTATTCCAAGTGTGATGGGAAACGACAGGAACCTAGGGTTTGCCAGGTCTTAGAGATCAGTCAGGCTGTGGTGGGAGGACTGACGAAAAGAGGAGCGAGGGTGGTGGACGACGAATGGCGAGGTTGTGGCACCAGTTCCGATGAGAGATGGCAGCAGGGAAGATGGAGAGGAGCCGGATGATCTGGGTGTTGGAACCACCAATGGTGCTAACACATGAATGAACGAACGAACGAACGAATGAGTGAATCAGTGAATGAATGAACGAGTGAATGAATGAGTGAATGAGTGAATGAATGAATGAATGAATGAATGAATGAATGAATTTTTCCTCGAAGCCAAAAGTGAGAAAAGGGTGAGGTGCTTTTCCTATTCCCCAAACCCTGAGACAGGGGTTCCCTCAGGCCTGACAGTGCTTTGCACACAGTAGGTGCTCAGTCAGGGTAGGCCTAGAAGGGTAAGCACCTGCGGGGCGGCCTGTGACTGCCCTCCCTCGGCCAGGGCTGATCCCCAGAGCCCCACAGCCCAGGCATCCGCCAGCGGCGGCAGCACCAGCCCCGCCTCCACCGCACGGCCCGGTCCCTCCGACGAGACCCGAGACCCGAGGGCACCGCGGCCAGCCTGTCAGTGTGGCGACGCCCAGCCTCCCCCAGCCTGGCACGGGGCGAGGGTCCTGACGGGGTGAGCCTCCGGGCAAGAGCGTCAGGCGCCGCCCTTGACCCCCGCCTCCCGCCTCAGGCCCCGGGGAGACCCGGGATCTCTGGGACCCCGCCCCCGATCCCCGCCTACCGGGGCCGCCGCGTCCTCCTCATCCATAGGCCTCTCAGCGCGCACTCTAGCTCTTCGGCCGCCGCCACCACACACATCCGGGTCCCCGCCCTACCTACTCCCTAAGACCCGCCTTTCACTACCACCCTCGACCAATCCGAAACGACCTAGGACGACAGGCACCTGCAAGAGCCAATTGGAGGGCGCAGTCAGGGTCGGGCGCGGCCCGGTGAACCGGGTACCTAGCGCTGGGTGGGGTTGGCCAACGGCGGTGTCGGGGAGTGGGAGGTGGCGACGTGGCGGCGCGCGCGCAGCGCTGGGCGGTCTGGGCGCTGACGGGGCGGTAGCGGGCTGGCTCCTGGGCGGGCGGAGAAGGTAGTAGAAGCGCACGGATAAATACTTGCCAGTGTTTCCTGAGCCGTGGTCCGCGCAAGATGTGATGCTAAAAGCTTTGCGGGGATTCCTTTTAATATACCCTATCTTATGAGATGAATCTTATTACTATCTCTCTCTCTTTTTTTTTTTTTGCAAATGAAGAGCCTGAAGGTGGCCTCCATAGTTCGTGGGCTTAATGTAACTATATGCTTTACATTCTCCTGAGCTCTACTATTACCTGCATTATATTCTTCCGAGCTCCATTTCTTGTAACCTTTGGTCACTATGGGACATTCCATCCCAGGAGAGAATTTCGAATGCAAAAAGCACAGTGGCATGAAACTTCGGAATGTCCAAACATTTGGAACGTCAGGAACAAAGCAGTCTGGTGTGATAAGAAAGTGAGGTTGGAGTCATAATGTGAAGAGATGAAGGATACAAACATTTATGGAGTACCTTCTACACAGGTGTTATTGTCATTCTGGGGAGGACTTCCTTGATTTCCTCCCATCACCAAATCCCTTCTCCAAATCGGAAGGTTTTTCCCCTCTGTATCGTCATACTATGTGGTTTGCACCTCATTTATAGCATTTATTACAATCATACTTGTATTATGAAAGTCACCTGTGTGTAGACCTGTCTCTGCTAGCCTGTGAGCTACTTCAGACTCTGGGATTTATCCTATTCTTATAAATGGATACTCCACAAATGTTGAATGAAACAGAAGCCATCATCTCTTACACCATAAGCAGTGACCGCTGGCATGCTGGAAATAGGTGTTGATGAAAAACTGAGAACCTAGGTTAGAGCCCCAATTCTGTGATGGGAAGATCAAGATCTTGGTATTCTTATTTTTTTTAAAAAAAGTATTGAAACGTGTTCTCTTAGCTCCCTTCCAGCCCTGAGTTACATAGTTGTGGATAGTTACTCTCCTCAACTTGTCGCCAACTCCTTCTGTTTCCTTCATTTCTTCCCTTCCACCTCCTCTTCCTGAGCTACGAAAATACTCCAAATGTCAACTCAGCTCTTCCCAAAGGCAGCTAAAGAGTGACCAGCCAGGCAGCTCCCAGAGTCATGTCCATGGTCATAACAGGGTCTCCTGACTCCCTCCAGAAACTAGCTAGCTAGCGAGGGCCTGAGACGGAGAGAAATGGCGGAAGGTGTTTCTGAAATGTTACTGATGGTTGGTGATTCTACTCAGGATTTCCTCATCTTCAGGTGCCAAATGGGGCTGGCCTTTTGGTGAATCCTCAATCTGTTGACATTCTCAGAACCTAATTGGGAAATTTGTGCTTGCTATCTAAATATATTTGATTAAACAGCTCTATTGAGGTATAATTGACATATAATAGACCATACATATTTAAGGCATATAATTTGATAGCTTTTGTATATACCCATGAAAATATCACCACAATCAAGATAGTGAACATTCCATCACTCCCAAAAGTGTACTCATGCTCCTTTATAATCCCTCCTTTTCATCTGCAGGAAACTACTAATCTGCTTTTGTCATTGCTTTAGTTTGCATTTTCTAGAATTTTATATAAATGGAATCTTACAGTATATGCTCTTGGGGAAGGTCTGGCTTCTTTTATTCAGCATAATTTTGGGGGGATTTATTTATATTATTGTATACAGACAGTCCGCGGGTTACGTCGGAATCGACATACGTCATTTCGTGGTTACATCGCCATCTCCCATTTATTTAGAAAAAGAAGTTCCATCATTTCAACGTATGTACATATGTGCTTTATGTTTTTTTATTATTTATTTACCACAAGTAAAGGTCAGGAATTGTTATCTTTTAATTTTTTTTTTTTTTTACTGTTTCACTTCATTACTGCTGTGTATGTGCTCCATGTGAGTGACGTAGGTGCTTATGTAGGGGAGTTCTGACTTATGGTGAAAAGCATGTTACATCGCGCCGTAGGAACAGATCTCCAACGTAACCTGAGGACCTACTGTATATGAATAGTTCATTCTATTTTATTGCTGAGTAGTATGCCATTGTATGGATATACCACAATTTATCATTCACTTATTGATGAACATTTGTTTGTTTCCAGTTTGGGACAATATTACAAACTAGAGGCCCGGTGCACGAATTCATGCATGGGTGGGGTCTCTTGGCCTGGCCCGCAATCGGGCAATCAGGGCGATCAGGGCCATCTCACCCAGTCCTGATAGGAGCTTGCCTGAGGGAGGGGCCGTGGGAGGTTGGCTGTGGGAGCGCACTGACCACCAGGGAACAGCTTCTGCATTGAGTGTCTGCCCCATGGTGGTCAGTGCATATCATAGTGACTGGTCAACCGGTCGTTCGGTCAACTGGGCATAACGGTTGCTTGGGCTTTTATAACTATAGATAAGGCTGCACTCATGTTTGTATAGACATATATTTCATTTTCTGTTGAGTAGATACTTAGGAGTAAATGGCTGGATTACAAGGTAGATGTATACTTAACTTTATACATATATATGTGTGTGTGTGTGTGTGTGTGTGTGTGTTTATTGATTTCAGAGAGTGGAAGGGAGGGGGAGAGAGAGATAGAAACATCAATGATGAGAGAGAATCATTGATTGGCTGCCTCCTGCTTGCCCCCAACTCGGCCATGTGCAACCCGGCCATGTGCCCTTGACCAGAACTGAACCCGGGACCCTTCAGGCCGACGCTCTATCCACTGAGTCAAGCCAGCGAGGGCATTGTCTGTCATTCTTTTAGATTTTAGCCATCCTAATAGGTTTGTAGTGGTATTTTGTTGTAGTTTCAATTTGCATTTCCATAATGACTGATGACATTGAGCATCTTTTTCACATGCTTATTTGCTATCCATATATCTTCTTTGGTGAAGTGTACAAATCATTTGCCCATTTTTAAAAATTGAGGGTTTTTTTTCTTACTATTACATTTTGAAAGTTTTTTTTTAATATATTCTGGATTTAAATCCTTTATCAGATATATAATTTTCAAATAGTTTCTTCCAGTCTGTAGCTTGTCTTCTCATTCTGTTAACAGTGTCTTTCAAAGGGCAGTTTTTAATCATGAAGATGTCTAATTTATCCAGTTTTAACTTATGAATCATGCTTTTGTTGTCCTATTTTTTTAAAAATATATTTTATTGATTTTTTACAGAGAGAAAGGGAGAGAGATAGAAAGTTAGAAACATCGATGATTGAGAAACATCAATCAGCTGCCTCCTGCACACTCCCCACTGGGGATGTGCCCGAAACCAAGGTACATGCCCTTGAGTGGAATCGAACCTGGGACCCTTGAGTCCGCAGGCCGACGCTCTA